CCCGAACACACCTCTCAGTATCGGACAGATCATCTAGGCAGCAAACCAACAGAGTAACCATTACTCTTTCAGAGGGAGAGAAGAAATCTAGGGTAATTAAGAGGGGGGAGGGGGGAGGGAGAAGGGGAGAGGGAGAGATTGGACAATGGGCATAAAGAATAATTATGATTTGTAACAATGTGTATGCTAGGAATATTGATTTGATCAACATATGTCAATGTTGAACCCCCAAAATATGTATAATCAATTATGATTCAATAAAAATTTTTTTAAAAAAGAAAGAAAAAGTACGAGTCAGAAGCTTCTCAAACTGTGTTGAGAACGAGCAGCCTTCATTCCTTAAAAACTCCAAACCTGAGCTGAGCTGTCAAAGATGAAGTGACACGGGACGTTTGAAGCAGTGCCTGAAATTGGCAAAATGAGTGCTGCCTTCTTCCCTTTGTAAAACCTACACATGCAGAACTGGACTTCTCATCTTCCACTGCAACAGAAGGGAAATGCAGGACTGGACAAACAACATTGATCCTAAACTTGAGCAAGTAATGTATTAAAAGACACAAAAACACTCTTATTTAAACATGTTTGCTTTGGATCACCATACCAGCCAGCTGCAAAAACAAAACAAACAAAACAAAACAAAACAAAACAAAACAAAACAAAACAAAACAAAACAAAACACGTTTGCTGACTTCCATGTTGTCAAATGTTAAGTAAAAGACATTTTGTATTATCTTGTTATTTGTATTTACTTTTTGTGCTTAGACTATTATTTGACTTTTCTCATATCTTTTTACTTGTGCGCTTGAATCTTACTTTGCCCTTTTCTGGCAGAAATTAGTCTGCGAGACCACTTTTGCTACCTACTGTGATTAAGGCACATGTTACATATTTCCTATTAACATTTCTGTTTGGTAGTCAAAAAGGAAAAAGGTAGAGCGTACCCTCATAACGCCAGGGTTGTGGGTTCAGATCCCCATACTGGTCAGCTGCCAAAAATAAAGCAAAGCAAAACAAAACAAAAAAGGAAAAAGGTATACTATCATTTCAATTTGAATTTGATCTCACTAAAAAAATAATTTGGAGTGTGGAAAGCCTTTCTAAGTCTGTTGCAAAACTCAGAAGGTATAAAGGAAAAGATTTGCTTGTTTAAAAAAACTTTGTAACTCAAGAAAAATGGAAAAACATAAACAAAAAGACCAATAACATATTAGAAAACCGGATTAAACAAAGTACAACCACAAGGGAACAACCTTTTTTCAGTTATTTGATCAACAAAGGGCGAAAGTTTTTATAATACTCACTATTGACAAGACTGTGGGGAAACAGCACACTTATGTACTACTGGGAGTAGTGTCTATTACTCTACCTCATTTTCAAAGTCTCTTCTAAAATATTTAATTTATATCCCTTTTGTCCCCAAAATACTATTTCTGAAGATATATATTTGCACACACATATGTATAGATACATGCATGGATGTTTATGGTAGCATGTATATACAAGGACGTTCACTACAGCATTGTTAATAAGAGCCAAGAATTAGTCACAGCCTAAATTTGTATCAATAGGGGACCTGTTAAATTCTTTATAATCAAACCATACAATGAAACACTTGGCAAGATTATAAAACAATGAGTGAGTCTTTATGTTCTAACATGGAAGATGTCCAAATTATGTTAAGAGAAAAAGGTTTGTAAAATAGTACACATAAAGTGATCACTTTTTTCCCTTAAAGGGGGGCATCCATGTGTATAGGTACACACATGTACACAAACGCACACGACATACACATGTGACTCAGTTTTCAATGGCTACAAGTCATTTCTTGGGAATAGGATTGGGGAGGATCTGGAATGAGGCAGGTAGAATGACTTTTACTTTTCACTGTATATTCTCCCATACAATTGGAATTCTTAAAATTGAAACAGAGGACTTTTGTAGTAACAATAACGGAAACAGTGATTACAGAAAAATACAGTGCTTTCACCAAGCAATTCCACTTTATAGAATTCATCCAAAGAAAGTAATTGAACAAGTGTGTAGAGATGAATGCACGAAGATGCTCAGTATTCGTTGTTGTATGAAAACACTGGAAACAACCTAAATGCTCATTAGTAGGAAACTGTTAAATACATTATGATATGCCCATACAGCAGGATGCTATGTGACTGTAAATATGAAGGTATAAGGCAGCTATGCTGTTGACATGGAAAAAATGCCCAAGATATATTATAAAATGGAAAAAAGGTAGGTTTCACAACAAGCTGCATAACATACCTTTTATGTTAAAAAGTGTTTGTATGTACATATTTAAAAGTCTTGAAAGATGTTAAAAATGAAAGTATACATTAACCCACATTTTCTTAAGCCATCAAGCTCTGGTTTCTTTAAATGGATGTGAAATTTCCAGATGTTAGCTGAGAGATGTCATATTCATTTTGGCTCATACAAGCCTCCCAATTCCAACGTCGAAGACTTATCCAGTAGTTTCCAGGCCCCTGGAGTGCTCCTCTCTATTGAGTGATTTGTGTACTGGTTATGGTACTCAGTTTTTTCCACTTATCTCATTTAATCCTGAGAATTAACTGTATGAGTTTCTGTTATCCTCTCCATTTATGAGGCTAAGTAACTTGCCCAGGGTTACTTAGGAAGTTCCTGTGTGATTATTCAGAAAGCCGTACTTGATGGCACTGTATCATCACCAGAAAGAAAATATTGTTCAAGTCAAGCCAGATCATTCCTGGTCTCTTTAGCTTTTCCCATGCCTGTGCCTTTAAATCTACCTGTTTCTCTGCTCTGAGGGGCCTGTCCTTTCTGGGAGTCTTGCTTGTGCTTTGTGGCCTAGCTGAGATGCTTCCTCTTCCAGGAAGCCCTCCCTAATTCTCACTACTGGGAAGTACCCTTTTATCCCCCTCACAAATCTGACTTTATGCCATCCTGGCATTTGGTACATCCTTTACGCTGCTTTCACAGTTCTTGGCGGTGTCGATGTGTAATAATGTTGCTTAGGTTTTATTATAGGCAGTTTAGGTTTTAAAAAAAAATTGGCAGTGGCCTGGTCTTGAGTTGTCTGTCTGTGTGTGTGTGTAGTGGAGAGAGACAGAGATTCATCTAAGACCTTGGTAAGCCCCAGAAAAATCTGACATCACAGAAAACATAGTAAAATGCACTCACATTATTATTATTATTATTTTTTGCTGTAAAATAACTGATTTTCAGATTTTTTTCTATTGCAATCATTGAAAAAACATTATTTTCATATTACAGAATCAATAAATTGCGTTTTTGTAGGGCCTGTACAAAACAGGCGCTGTGCTGCTAATGATGCATGAACAAAGTTCCTGCTGCTCTCACCTCCCCCTCTTATCCTCCCAAGAACTAGGGCTTTCGCTCACAACCTCTACTCCCTACCTTCTCGTTCCTTCTTTTGCTTAGTATGTCCTTCGCACCATGGCCTCCACCCTCCTTTCTTCCGAAACCCTACTTATCTTTCAGGATTCAACCAGGAACAAGGATGACAAGATTCCTGCCCTCCTAGAACTTACTTTTTGGTGAGAGAAGACACATAATAACTAAGCGCAATGATAATAGATCATTTCAGATAGGGATAGAACCTGTGAAAACATATAAACAGGCAATAGGAGAGTGTGGAGGGGGCTGCTTTAACTAGGCTGGTCTGACTAGGGTTCCCTGTGCAGGGGCCATTTGAGCCGAGCCTTGACGAACGACTAGGAGGAGCGTCCAGAGAGAGGCGACGAATATAGAAAAGAGCTTGGTTTCGTGGACAAACCAGAGGCAGGCCAGTGTGGGTGGGAAACATTGTGTCAGATAAAAATAGAGGGGGCACGGCCAGATCCCGCAGGGACTCGGAGGCCACGCGCGGAGGTCAGATTTTACTCCCGAAGAAATGGTTTTAAAGCTGGGGTTCAAAGCTGCATTGCTTTGTCCCAGCGCCGCGGGCGACGGTGCCCCTGGCAGACCTCCTCCAAGGCCCCAGGCCGGCTGATGCCCCGGCCGTCAGCATGTAAGCCTGGATCAGTTTCGCCTCTGTGCGGTCATCGCTCCTCTACGTGTCCGCCCCGTCCCCAGCCTCGGGTCCCGGAAACGCCCCCGGTCGGGTAACCAGCGCTGAGCCGCAGGGGCCCGGAGAGGCCGGCGCAGCGCTGGCCCAGGCAGCCGGGACTGCCCCCGGGCGCCGCCACGCTGCTTCCGGCTGGGGAAGGCAGAGGCCAACGCGTGACGCAGGCGGCCGCACGTGGCTCCGGAGTGTGCTTCTCGGGACAGGTGCGGAGGCCGCCGCGACCTGTCCCCGGCACTCGCGCTCCCGCTCGAGTTTATTCTCGGCTTCCCGGGCCGGCTGGACGCCGTTGGGTTCTCCTCCACTGGTCTCACAACTCCCCAGTTTTTCTTGGGGCTCTGACGCTCCTCCATTTGCCCATCTAAGAAACAAGACTCTAATAAAAGACGGGACAGCGCTTTGCGAACTTGAACTCTAGTTGGGCGTTTAATTCACTTTCTCCACACCCCTTGTCTCTGGAAGCCCAAGCTGCTGGAGCGAGCATGCTGCCACCCAGCACACCCCTCCACGCCCACCTGACTCGATTTTACGTCCCCCGGGTCTGGAAGCGCTGGAAAAGCCCCTGCGGGGTGCGGTCTCTGGGCCGGTCACGTGACCCTCGCTCAGCGCCCCAAGGCTCGGCAGTAACCAAGTGCGCACGCGCAGCCCCCTTCTATCCTCCTAACCCCACCTTGGTTGGTACGGATGCAACCAGTGTGAGTTCCTCCCCCTCCTCCTCCCTCTTCCTCCTTCCAGACATTCGCTCCCTTCCCCCCGCCCATTGGTTACGTCAGACAGACAGGCCTATTTACCAATCAGAACCCTGTGTTCAGAGGCCGGCACGCGGAACCGGCCAGGTCGGACCAATGAGAGCCTTTAGAGCGAGCGCGCCCCAACCGGGCAGGGGAGCCCAGGCCGAGTGGGCGGTGCTTCCCCAGTCAGCATGTGGGCGGGGGAGGGCGGGGAACAGCAGCCGCAGAAGCGTCGACGGCGGCTGCGACGTTGCTCAGTCTTCGGGGTGGGCTCCGTGGCGCAGGCCGGGGTGCGCGGAGAGCTCAGCGGTCATCGGCGGCGGCCTTAAGGAGGCCGCGGCGCCATGGCGGGGCGGTAGACGGGTTCCGGCGGGCGACTTGAGGGGCGGCGGCGGTCATCCGGTCCGCGGCGACCTTCGGTGGGGCCTGGGGGT